TAGTGCCGACCGGCAATATATATTGCCAGTGGCAGCAAAAACCAGCCGGTGGCCTCTGGCCATGGCCGGTGGTGTGTGGGGGTGCCTCACAAGGCATTCCTTGCCCCTCCAAGGCAAAATGCAAGTGTTTGGTGCAAAACCAGACACTAAACAGTCGAATTCGGAGATCCTGAGGCAAGACACGTAGCCGAGACCTCCGGGAACTCCAAACGAACACAAACATGAATGATCACCGAGTGTTCAAACGGTGACGTCCAAGTCTTGAGGACGGTCAAAAATGGGGTGTCTACAGCTGTGTCGCTTAATTTGGAAAGATATTGATTTTCATGTTTGTAAACTCAATTTCTTTGAGTTGTACATCTTCAATCTTTCAAAATACATGAAATTAAGTTGTTCCAAAATGAATGGCATAGTCTATACTTGTATGCTTCACATAATAAATTTTAGGATTTATTAAATAATCAAAACATAAACATATAAAGTAAATAAAACTCATATCATTGTTTAGTAGAGGCTAATCTTTGATTGAGTGAGTGGGCGTGCTCAATTAAAGACCTTCCTCTCTCATGCCTAAGGTTCTGAGCAAAGCATCTTCAGTTACGACGAATAGTGACCTTGGCGCGGGTCACGGGCTTTCTAATTTTTTCAAAATATTAGGTGCCGACTCTAAGATCTGGTGATACAGTCAATTTCTGGCAATGGTTTTGCAATAAAATGGATTTTCTATAAAAATTGTCAAATCTAGACTCTCATCTATGTTTCATATTGCACTTGTGAGACTAGATTGAATAAATCTAGGGTCCGAACTGTTTAACGCGCACGGGAACCCCCCAGGCATGTTACAGTTTTTGGCAACTCTACTGGGGATTTTATGAAACCTTAACTCGAACTCCATGATATGACTTTTATTTTCAATTATATGTTTATTGCATTGCATGCATTGGTGCACTTAACATCCCTATGTTGCCCAGATACTGATGGGAGCACAAGCAAGCCTTTTTGTGACACTGTACTCATCTCCGCGTTACTTTTGAGACCTTGTGTTAATACTTTTAAGATTTGTCAAAAAGGTAGCTCCGTTATCTAAGGTTATCAAATTTCGAAGAGAGGCTATATTGACTATTTTGACTTCCTGGGATCTTAACTAGTCATTAACCAAAGGGCTCTTTCGTGACATCACCTTGACTTCACCCCCAGAGTAGAGCTAACCTTGTACATATAGTGAGCTATAATACTTTCCAAAATTAGGACAGGATACTCTCCTAATTCTAGGATGTATGATATTGCTTGTTTGAATAGTGAAACCCTAGATCATTTCAAAGGTATGACAGGGTAACCCTACCCTCCATAGGGGTGCTTGTTCTTTTTCTTACTATGTGCTATGTGCAATGTATGAGATCTATACAAGGATTCTCAAATATAGATGAGTGGTTCAAGCATTTCAGTTTGTGGAGTTGTGTTTAGTTTTAGTAGTGATCAGTTGAGCCAGAAATGCTGCTAAAATTTTGATTGGGAGTTTCGTTTTTTTGTTTTGCTAGGAAGTCATAGCACTATAGCTTCAAAATGGTCTAATATCTCCCAAGTTTTATGGACTCGTGCTGGTAGACAGATTTGATTCAGGGACAACCAATGTTAGTTTCTCTATCGCCAGTTACAAGAAGAAGGGTTAAAACTTCACTATCAGTACTTCTCCAGTCAGAATTTCTAAAATCTGTGATGGATCCACCTCCAATGGTGATAGATGACCAACCTTCAATAGATATAGCAAACTTGTTTTTATCCCTTCAACGAGGCATGAATGCTCTTACCAATAAGGTTATCGCCAACAATGAGGCTCTTATCGAATTGCAACGCCCATCTAGGGCATCTACATCTCATCCACTTCCAGTAGTTCATCCAGATCTAGAACCACATCCACCTGTAACAACCCCGACCTCTGATTAACGTTAATTCATGATTAAATAATCTTAATTACTAATTAAGGTGAAATTCTAAATTAATTGCATGTGTATGTCGCATTATTGTGCTTATATCTGTTTATCGTAGAAAGATTTGTTTGCATTTCTGTTTCTTCTTGCGAATTGAAGGCTTTATCGACATCCAATCATAAAATTGACTTGATTTATGTGCTATTTAGGATTTTTAGAACATTATGGTAAGATTAATTAAAATTCGATACGGAACGATTAAATTAGAATAATTAATGTCAACTAATTAGTCAACTCCTAATTAAGCCTATATAAGGCTCATATGAACTCATTAGCTCACTTTACACTCTACTACCACCCAACCTTGAAGAGAAAATGTGGGAGAGAAAGGGATAGAAGAAAAATTGACTTCAAAGCTAGGAAAAAGGGGAATTGCTAGGAATTGTTAGAGACTTGCAAAGAAATTGGGAGTTAAAGTTTCTACACTTGTGCAATTAAGACTCTAGATAAGAATTTTGTCCTTAAACTTTGTAATCAAGACTTTAATACAAGAATTCTTGAGAATTAAGCTAAATTATGCAAGAGATGAACTAATGAATCAGAAAGGAGGATCATTCCATGGATGCATATATCATAGCACTTTCAGTGTGTTTCTAAAGAATTTTCACATGCATGTGTCTATCTTGACTTGGTTTTGAAAATTCATCACATGTCTTACCATTTGACCTTACTTGATCATGTTTTGGAAAGCTTAAGTTCAAAGTAATTCATGCATGTCATGTTTATGGCATATTCATAAATTTCAAGTGGGAGTTTTGATCAATTGGCATGCCTTTGGACCTTGATTTAGTGAAATGATCTTCGAACCATGGTATTTTACAAGTTTCTAAATTTTTTCTGGAGTTTTGACCCAAAAAGTTGAGTTTTAAAGTGTATGATTCGAGTTTAGAGCTTAGGAATATGGAAATTCTAGATTCTACACTTCCGCTCGAGTGATAGAAATGGTGCTCGAGCGACCACTCTGTGATCTTACACTTTTGCTCGAGCGACCTGAAGTCCGCTCGAGCGTGAAATGCGAGCTCTCAGAAGTTTCATGTTTTTGCAGACCGCTCGAGCGAGGACCCGAGTCTTACGCTCGAGTGACCGTCAAGCATGAAAATCACACAACCAGTACTTTTTCAAAGTTTGCAGACTGCTCGAGTGATGGAAATTGCGCTCGAACGGCCCCTCACATGTTTGCATGTTCGCTCGAGCAAAGGAAGTTGCACTCGAGTGAGACCCCTGTTTTCAACAAGTCTTGTTAAGAGTTCCAAAGTGCTTTTTGGCATTCACATTGCATCCTAGGCATTCCTAGGCCATGATTAAGACTCAATAAGATATTAAGACCTAGAAACGCACTAAGAATGAGACGGAAGAAGTTATGTACCAAACGAATGTGTGTTTCATTATGTGTTTCTGTTATGTGTATGTAGGTCACGTGCCTTAAGTTATCTGATTTGTCTGTTCTGCAAGTGGAGCCATCTGTGAGTAATAACTTTGTAAAGCTACGTTCACGTCTAAGTATTTTCCTATATGATATGATATGACAAGAAATGATTTGCTTTCTGAAATGCTATGTTCTATATCAATGAATGAATGTCCAACTTTTGACAAGTATTCGTGGTATCCTTAGCACAAGGCCCTTGCCCGGAGGTAATAATACCATGGTCTACAAGCACAAGGCCTTTGCCCGAGGGTAAAAATATCGTGGTCTCATGGCCCTTGCATGGGGGTAATCATATTGAGGCCCAATTATATTACAAGTTCCCGGTACCGGAGGTTCCTTTTGGAACTGACAAGTATCATAACGCTATTGGATGTACCATGTATGATAAAGCATGAACTTTGATTTATGTATGTAGTTTGAACAAGAATGTGAATACGAACCTATTTCTGATATGAACTCTAATTTTTGAATCTGTTATGGACATCATTCATTTAAACCCTTTACTTTTTTATTAATCACTGGGCTTCCGCTCACTATTTATATTATGTATGTAGGTGAGCAGGCACGCGACCAGGCCTAAGCTACTGCTTGGAGTTTTGGGTTAGCCAGCCACTACGCCTCCCGGGGAGGTTCTCTTTTGAGATGTCTAGTTTTGTAACTTTGCTACAGATGTTTTTGTTTTGTTTTGCTTTTCTATGCATTAGGCTAAGTTCTTTTTTTGACTTCATCTGTGTATATAGGTGACACAAGACTATTGTATCTATGACGTCTCATATATATATAAGTTTGTTTTGAAGATCTCTGTCTCATATACGTTAACACAACTCTATGGACAATGTATATTTTTTATATTTGTTTCCGCAGCCCCTTATTATATGTCATTCTGTTAAGAGGCCTTTGGTAATCCAAGAATTATTGGCCAACTACGACGCTAAACCTATAAGTGCGGGTTTGGGTCGTGACAGAGTGGTATCAAAGCACGCATTATACCACACACACGAGTCCATATGTGCTATAGGATGTTCTAGTAAGAGTTAGGGGCATTTCATCTGCATGTGCGAGTGTGTACTAATTTCTGTACCATGAAGAAAACTGCATCTGAACAAGAACACATGAAATTAAAATGAATGAACTAGGAATGACTGTTCTGAACACTATGAAAAGAACTATTTGCCTATGTTTAATTGTTCTCCGATTTCCCTATAGCAATGGAAAATACAAAAAGTGATGATACAACAGGGTCCTCTGAGGCTCGAATGAGACGAGTGGAACAAATGCTCACAGCCTTAACTGAAGCAATGACATAGCAACAAAGACAACAATCGATGCCTCCTCTGCCTCCTCTAGTCCAAGTTGTGTTGGATAATAATGACATCATCAACCTAACGCAAAAACTCATAAAGATGAAACCGCCAACTTTCTTGGATGGTATTGAACCGTTGAAAGCGGAGACATGGTTACTTGAAATGGAGAAATTATTTGAAGTGTTCCCCAATACTAAGACTCGGAAGGTTTTATTGGCCACCTACACTCTTAAAGATGAAGCTCGGAGATGGTGGTTATTGATCCGAAATAGTAATGGGAATATGACTTGGGCTCAATTCAATGAGATCTTCTACAACAAGTGTGTTCCCCAATGCTTTAGAGACCGAAAAGTTTTTGAATTCCAAGAACTTAAGCAAGGAAAGATGTCCGCAGCTAAGTATGAGGCTAAGTTCACCGAGTTGGCCAAATTTGCTCCTCATATGGTGGACACAAATTATAAGAAAGCACGAAAGTTTGAGGGAGGACTAGATCTGGAAGTATTTGATCGAGTAGGTGTCTTGAAATTGCCTACTTATGTGGAAGTGCTTGATAGGGCATTGATGGGAGAGGCCATACTAGCTGCAAAGAAACAAGCTATAACTCCAACAACTAAATGGAGAGGTAAAAGGACCGGATTCAATTTCAAGAAGGGCCAATCATTTCTGAAGAAGCAAAATTCTGGATCATCAAGTAGCTCAAGCCAAAGTAGTGGGTCTATGCCAGTTTGTCCAGATTGTGGAAGGAAACATAGGGGCATGTGTCACTGTGCATCTGGTGCTTGTCTTTGATGCGGCAAAACAGTCCACATGATTAGAGATTGCCTAATGAGACTCAACACGACTACCCATCCTGCGGCACGTTTAGCCGGATCTACTCCTACACCAAGAACCAATATGAGAGCCAATACTAGAGGAGAAACTTTGAGACAAGGCCGGGTTTTTGCATTAGTACCCGGGGATGTATAAAATACTAAGTCAGTAGTGTCAGGTATAATCTCTATCTGTGCTCAGAATGCTTATGTGCTGATTGATTCTGGTTTTACTCATTCATTTGTATCGCGTGCTTTTTCTCAAAAATTAACTAGACCGTTAGAATCTATGAACTGTGTACTATCTGTATCTACATCGTCTGGCGGTTCTATGATATATGCTTATGTTTATCCAGCATGTGATATTATGATTGGTGATATGACATTGTATGTTGATGTCATGGCCTCAAACCCGCCCCTAAAAGTTTAGGCATGAACCGTTCAAAAACGAACATGTAACCTGATGTACATAACATACGGGGCCTTATCGGAAGCACGTAATATGAAAATAATGAAACATATAAACTCCATTGAGCTACTTCTACATGCCAGGATCTCATACATCACATGTACCATAGAAGATAGATAAAGTTCCAAACTATATCACAGAGCATCGGTTATATACAAACACATATACACTCCCAGCCCTATAATTGGGCATATACAAAAACCATTGAAGTTATATACATTCGACCTTAGGTGGCAATCAAAAAGTAAGCCAACATCTTAACAGACTTCACAAAATAAATGGCCTTGCACAGTGCCTGGACACACGAAGGTTGACAAAAAAAAACAGGCGTCATGGCTAGGACTGACCACCTGGTTGGTTACCTACAGAAACAAACATAACACAGACTGAGCTAGGCTTAGTGAATAGTAATACTTAAATAAAACGATGCTTAACTTGAAATATAATACATCAAAGCGTAAGAAGATGCACACATAGTTAGTCTGATTCTGTACTAATTTCATAACGGCTTTAGGTCCATTCTTGAAACGTGATGGCTTGAAACATAATATCTTGAAACATGATGGCTATAAGCCCTCAAACGTAGTGGCACAAAGCCCTTAAACATGGTGGCGTTAAGCCCTTGAACATGGTGGCACGAGGCCCTTGAATAAGTTGGCATTAAGCCCTTGAATCATTTGCTATTAAGCCCTTGAACTTGTTGGCATTGAGCCCTTGAACTTGTATGTATGAACTCAAGAGGTGGCTCGCACGGATTCTAAAGGTGACTCGCATTACAGCACTTAGTTCCATACAGCACTTTGTTTCATACTAACAGATCTTGCAGATCATATAAAATGGTCATAGGCCTCATAACTTTCATAGAACAACTTTCAGCCTCATAACTTTCACATATGTATGGACTCAAGAGGTGGCTCGTACGGATTCTAGAGGTAACTCGCACTGCAGGACTTAGTTCCGTATAGCACGTTGCTCCATACCAAAAATACAGAATGGCCTCTGGCCTAATAGATCATATAGAATGGCCATAGGCCCAGATTGGCTTTAAGCCTAGTTCATATATGTATGGATTCAAGAAGTGTCTCACATGGATTCTAGAGGTGGCTCACAATGTAGCACTTAGTTCCAAGTAGCACTTTGTTCCATACCAGTAATTAATAGGTCTTACAGACCAAACCATACATATCATGTCATACCATAAATGGAAACAAATTTACACATGCATTACACTTGAAGCATAAACAGAAATTAGAATTCGTACTTGATTGCACTTGGCACTCCGATAGCTTTAACAAATCAATACATAGCATTCTTGTTAGTTCCATAAAGGGATTCCTCGGTATTAAGAACTTGCAACGTCCTTGAACTTGTAACATACGTGAACCACAGTATTATTACCCCCGGGTAAGGGCCTTGTGCTAAGGATGCCTTGAATACCTTTCTATAAATGAACAATCATTCAGTGATTCAAAACGTAACATGTTAGAAAATAGGGCGTTTCTTGTCATATCATGTTATTATCGTACACTTAACAAAGATAGAATATCGTACACTTAACAAAGATAGAATAATTCACATTCTCATGTGGGTCACATACTAATGTTAAACTTTTGCATTTATGTCGTAGATTCTGAATAACTTCAAGTTCATGTGTAACACAACAAAATAACTTCAGACTCATATGAGTACATATAGCTTTCTAATTAGTTTGATTCTTTGAAGGTGTCCACACTTGATAACCTATAACCAAATGGCCTGTGGCCTATTAATCACAAAATAGTATGCTCTCATATTTACACAGAATCCATTCTTCAAGAATGAACATAAATTCTCTTATTTATTAAGTAAGAAATGGCATAGTTCACTTGAGCTATTGATCAGTAGCATACAGAAGCATACCCCTTTGTTATTCGTTCATATATGTTAACATAGTTGACCTGCAATTAACAGAGTACTAATGATAACCGTTGCATCATTCACATGAGTTCTCATAGTTAACTTAAGTTTAGCTGAACGTTCCTGATAATTATTAACCAAGGGTAAGTACATTTTACAGATTGAATAATTCTAGAGATACGCGGATACCATAGTTCCATAATGCTTATACGTTCCATTTGTTCGTCATGAATCACTATAGCTATCTTACAAATAACAGAACGTTAGTATTCATAGTCAATAGTAAACAGAATGTACTGCTCAATAATGCCTCTAGACTTTCCAATTATCAACATGTTAACTTAATTACTTGCAAAGAACATAATGTTAACAATGAGAATCATTGACACTATTTGAGAGGCTATAGTAATACTACTCACAGTGCTACAACGAGGTACTTGTCCCTCCTGGAGTGCGCCCTGCACACATATATAACTCACACATTAGTTTCTCTCCTTATTCCATCATTTTCGGACTCGTTTCACTTCAAATGAATTTACATATATCAAAAAGGTGTCAAATATAAATTCCAAAAATATTCGAGGGTCGAGCACGCAAAACGGAGCAAACCATTTTTTCCAGCATGGGCCGCACGTGCGGCTGTGAGCCCCGCACGTGCGGCAAGCTTTCCCGCACGTGCGGCAAAATGCCCCGCACGTGCCTTTTAGACAGTGGCCAAGCCCCTGTTTTTCACCATTTCCCGCACGTGCGGCCATGACTCCCGCACGTGCGGCAGCACCTCCCGCACGTGCGGCCATGACCCCCGCACGTGCGGCGATTCTGCTCAAAATTGTCCGAAATTCTTACAAAATCCCAATCTTTTGGTACATCCTCACAAGGCTCATTTTAACATTTTTAGTTGACAATACATAGCCTAAAATTCATGTTACAAAGGCTTCAAATACATACATTAAACTAGACTATGCATATTCTGTTGCAGATACATTGCTTATGCCCCTTTCCTGCTCTCTGTCTGCAGCAAAACAAAGAATCAACAACCTTTTGGGCTTGGGCGCATTTCAAAGAACAAGGTGTAACAGAGGCTAATTGGGCACCGGTGGATTTTTCGCGCAAGACACCCGGATATGCATCATCATCAAGAGCAAGGCACGTCCCGTGTGCAACGCCAGTTTTATTTGCTTTTTAGCTAATTCATTAATTAAATTAGAACTTTTAATATTTCGGACTGTAATATTTTTTATTCGGACTGTTAATATTCGGACGTATATTTAATTCGACCCTCTGAGTGAGGGCCGACACCTGTATAAGTGTGGTGAGTGTGATGTATGTCTTCCAACCCCACGTCTCTGGCGTCTTGTGTATGTATCGCGGCTTTTTGGTAGATTACAGGCATGTTTAAGATTAGGCACAGTATGACAGATGTTTGTGCATTCAATTCATTTGTATATGCAACTGCACGCGGCTGGGCGCATCAGAACTACACTGCATTGTACTGTTCAATTTCAAATGAATACATGTTAGTTGTCGCATATTCATTATACATCTTGAGAATAGCTTGAGCCTACTATAGTTGCCATTTTCGCATGTGTTGCATTAGGCAATTCTGCTATACTTTGTTATACGGAGTGAGTTGCTATACTAGTTCTATTTTGGCTGGAGACTTCGGTGAGTTTTATGCTTTAGGCAGTCGCGTTGCTGCGTTGTGAGTGTTTGCCTTGAAGCATGCTTACCATGACGCTATGGCTTGATGTGAATAATGCCTGAAATGCCTGTGGGGAAGTTGGGTTATTTGATTGGAGGATAGTTCATCAGGATGTGTGGTTTGAGAGGCCCACTAGATATATGGCAAAATCATATTTTTCTAAGCCACCTGAGGTGGCATATCCACGTCTTAGGGGGGCCTTACTTGCGGGTAGCACCATCAAACCAACTTTCAAATAAACAAACACGAAATGTTTGTTCCAATTCGGGCGACCCAGTTCTAATATTTATATGCTTGCGGCATCAACATAAGTAACCTAAGCTGAAATAACGGATATAAGAAGTTCACATGTTTTCAAAAAATTGGATATTCATGATTAGTAGAGGCCGGTCTATGACCGGGCGAGCGGGGGTGCTCACGAAGTGACCTTCCCCAAGTCGTACCCAAGTTCCCGAGCGAGGCAACTTTGGTGATGACGGACACGCCCCCTGGCCTTTTGGCCCGCATCAGGGTTTCCTAAATTTCCCAAAATAAATATTTAGGTGGCGACTCTGTTAATCTGGCAAAGCAGCCTGTTTGCACTTCTTTCAAAAATCTTGTTTTTCTCAAACGATTTGCCGGGATTTGGACTCTTTGGTTCCAGATTAAGAACCGTGACTGCGAAAGTCGAGTCCGAGCTGTAGCTGGAGGTCCCCCGGGCTTGTTACAGTGAGCGCAAAACGATTTTATTTTGGAATTGATAAATGAAGCTCTTGACCGGTGTAATTCGAGCCTACGACTGAACACGACAGACACAACTCAACACGGAAATAAAAGCACTAAAAAACAACACCTCATACAAACACACTCAACAAAGGAAAAACAAAGTAAAACAACTAAACCACATCGAGACACGCTTGAATGACTCAAAGAA